CTCCACCAGTACTTCAGAAGCGCCAAACACTACTTCAAACGAGAAAACGGCTTGTAGCACTGCTCACCAAGTAAAGGCCACACAAAACTAAACGAGAGGATAGATACTCTGTCCAGCCCCTCTATATAACTGATTATTTATATCCATAATGAAAACACATTTCATATGGACTACGACCGGTTACCTGTGAAATTAAAATGTTTATCCTCTGGTTGGTCTGCCACAAAAATGTCAAACAATTTCAATATTCGCATAGTACCTTTTCGCCATGACAGGTCACACTATGTATAATACACTATGTGTACTTGTCAGCTGCCGAACTAGATAGTCATTATTACTATAGTCCACATGACTGGTGGAGCTCTGCCACAATGTCTGCTGGCTCTATCACTGCGCCATGAGCAGTCTGAGTTATGAATAGGCCTGTGATACATCATATCTGGAAACTGACGATACGCATTGGCGACATCTAAGATGGGTTGGTCTCCATTGCTATATTATTTATGCACATGAGTTTGTCGGGCGAGATTGTGCGAGATGTTGAAATTGAGCTGGCCCGTATATCGTGACACTCTTCTTGTGTACAGCATGCTGCAGTCCTTCTTCGGTACTTGACCCAGCCAATTAGGACCAGAATTACGACAATAACACTCACAAGGATGACAGCTCCAGATGAAGCTGTCACATCATTATCACTTGAAATGCTGTTTTGGCGAACCTAGTGAAAGAGAATAGTAGAGTCATCTTTAGGGTATTAAATCCATCTCTCACTTGTTGATGTATTGTCCTCATGTCATTATCCAAACCAATGGTAGTGTTTGCTGTTGTGTCTAAAAGGGTTCCATTTAGGCATTTATTGCAGCTGTACATGAGCCAACTTACCACTACGGAGAACCTGCACCATCACCATCATCATCATCATAATGGGCCAAGTGCATGCTTTGGTAATGACACTAACTTTGTGACTTCTGTGTTACTCGACGTGCTGGGCTGGTCACTGGCTGTTGTGGACTGTCACTCGATGTGCTGGGCTGGTCACTGGCTGTTGTGGACTGCTCACTCGATGTGCTGGGCTGGTCACTGGCTGTTGTGGACTGCTCACTCGATGTGCTGGGCTGGTCCACTGGGGATAACTGTGAGACCTAAATGCAGAGAGTATGGCTAAAAAATCTCTATAGGAAACAGACAGACTCTCCGTAGTAAGGAAACCACCCTTGGAGTAAGCCTTATTGACGGATCCTCAAACTTCAAAGGGTGGACATTCTAGACTGCTAATACAGCAATTGTTGGTGTTTAATTGATGTAGCAATTGAATGGATAGGGGAAAGGAGCTATCCCCCTTTTTAGTAGTTTGACAAAATAATTTCCATGTAAAATCACTTGGGTTGCTGTCAATGGGATGACTGAAACAACTGTACCAGCTGTTGATGGACGAAACTTGCCATGACCTGTGCAGAAACATGACACAGAGCCACCAATGGGAAAGAAGAGTCAAAAAATACTCTTGATTCAATTCTACTCGGTCCAGTTCTACTAGATCTCAGTGTTAGACCTTGATGCAAGACCTACATCTGACTAGCAGAGCTTTCAACGATATCAGAAGAGGCTGTTAGCCTGAAGTTGTGAGCCGGGGCATACAATAACCACTGGATTGACTGAGCACCAATAGCTGTGCAGAGAACTTCAACCGTTCCTGGTGTCTCTTTCTCTACAGTGACCCGCACAACTGCTAGAATTGAGATAGAGGTGGCGCAAAATGACATTTGTATTGGCTGTATATAGAGCTAGCTATACCTGCTCCAGGCAGTGGAATAATCAGTAGCATAACAAAGACGACAAATGCTGCTTCTGAATTGAACTACGATATAAACACAAGCAATATTATCGTGCTTACCTCCCATGAGTAAATGTCTTTGGAGAGCAATAGCTATAAGCCAGCAGCGATTAATAATAAGGCAGTCTCTGAGTCACGCTATTATAGAGCACTGTTTGTTCTGGCAGTAGTGCGCACTGTTTGGTTGAGTCTCATGTGGCCCTAGTTATTGTGACTATCATCCACCCGGTCATGCTCTTGTTTGAGACTCTAGTCCCCCAGTTGGCTGGTGAATACCCTGTCATTCCCTGGCTTGTGATCCTCCTACTATATGCATGCATGAAATGATTGTGTGTGTGTGTGTGTGTGTGTGTGTGTGTATTGTCTTTGTTGTAACCCAAGCTTCGTCTTGTGTTTGAGGAACCCATGAGGTAATCAGGACAATGGAGTCACTGTTTGAGCTAGCACCAGTGGAGAAACTTGATGGCCCGTTGGTGACTATAGAGCAATAATCATGTAAACAACCAAGGCAAAGCAAACCCATAACCCTGCATGTAAATGAGGAGTAAACAACACAACAAAAATAGCGAATACTTTCATCACTCTATATTGTAGGAAGCCACCAACTTACAGGAGTGAAACCACCACACAAACACAGCATGAGAGGACTGGCAGAAACTGCATACCAATAGCAGGGCATTATATAACGCCTAATGAGTTGCTTATTGTCGCGGCCTGTGACTAAACTATGTCACGGAGTGGAGCGTGCATGCGGGCTTCATTGTAACCCAAGACATTCCTCAATTCAATTCATTATGTGTTTAGCTAGCTACGAGCCCCTGAAGGATTCAAAGCAATGTTTGTTTATGGCAGTGATGAATTAAATTACTCACTAAAATTACCCTGCATGTACATAGTAAGCAAACACTGATCAAATAATGTACAGGGAGAGTATGACATTCCATTGAGTTCTAGTGCTTATCTCTGAAGACAGGATATGCTACGTTTTCAGTCATTTCTATACTGCTAATATAATGCTGCATTGGTCATCAGTTCATTATCTTCTCCTCCATTTGAAACGGCTGTTGTAGCAGGGAGGGAGTGGCTGATACTAAAGTACTCTGGCTCAATGTCATCCTGTTGAGAAGGTATACTACCGGAGGCATTCTGCAAGGGTTCATCTTGTACTGCTACTGCGAAACTGTTCTGATCTACAGCCAGCCTGTGGGTGGCACCATGGGTTGTAGTACGTGGGTTGATCAAGTTGGAGTCAACGTAGTCGTATTGGTGAGCTCCATCTAGAGCCGAGCCACTTCCTCTGCGCTTGCACGTGATGCACATGACAACGATAGACACGACCACAGTCACTGTGACGAGTAGGCCTGCAGCAACTGCAGCAATCCATATTCCGAGTGGCAGAGGGGCAGGGTCACCGCTGGAGCTAGCACCGGTTGGAGAATTTGAAGGATTGTTAGTAACAAGAGTCCTAGTTTTGGGAGTTCCTGATGGTTGGGTTGGGTATTTAGGTTCCAGGAACTCTGTAGGACATTTGAAACACCAAAACACTTTGAGCCTGTGCATAGCTTATGATGTTGTGTAGCTATACAAAAGGTACTTGTTAGCTAGCTACTCACCGTTCAAAAAGACTTCGATATGACATTATCAGATTCACCTGTGACCTCAGACGAGAGAGTTATCCCCATCGCAATCACTCGTTCCTCTGCTACTGATTAGTTATAGGCAAGAATCATAATATTAAGTGCAGTCACTGCAGTGCTTCCAGTTCACATAAATGCCTAACTGGTAGCTATACTAGAACTGGCTTCAAAAAATATTTAATCAGTGACGATGAGCGTCAATGTGGGTGGAATCCAATAAGAGGTGTCTACCACTTTATGAGCATTTTAACTGTTTGGTGAAGTTGGCAACTACAAGTACATGAGGGAAGTGATTGCTTCCCCTCACACGCTATGTAGGTAGCTATACATGGATTTCCTAGTTTGCATTGCAATTGTAATGGTCACTGTGGAAAAGCACTCATAATTTGATAAGTTGATAAACAAGAAGGTATCTAACATCACTACACCACAAATTGTAGTCGTGTACATTCACATCTAGCTATCAGTTTTCTGAATGAGCATGCGGCGTCGATATTTATGGAGCAAAAAAATGTGTAATTGGATACATGAGCATGAATTCTTGCGTAACCAAGTGAGAAACGAGCGCCGTTGAGTTAGAATTGCGGCTCATTACACACAGTCACGGCAAAAGCATCCAAGAGTCAGTCCAGATTGCGGAGTGTTCATCTGCCGTCAACAGGACGCCCCTATCGAGTCGGTGAACTAATATAGCCATTGGAGCTGACTTCGACACTGCACCTCTACCTACCTAGCTATACGCAACTGGAAAAAGTGGGTGGGGCTCGTCGACGAGCTAGCTACAACAGCGCAGTCATAACAAGGTTTGCAGCAGTAGTCTCTACTGATTCCAGGGTGGAAGAATGGCACAGCATCACCTTCTACTAGCTGCTCTGCTCCAGCTACTAAGAATAGCATCTGGTGAGAAAGAAGCAAGCTGCAGATTCTAGCTAGTAGCTAGCCATATTCATCTGTTTCTCTTCAAATTTCAAAATCCGCAGGTGATGGTGAGATGTCTCTGGTCCTGCCGGAAACTGGCTACTGTGGAGAGGCAATCTCAGGGAATTGCACTGCTAGAGACTCCACGAGGCTGACTCTGGATATATCTGGACTCAATTATCACACATTCACTCCAGAGGGGAGCCAGAAATCAGTCGTTCTCGAGGGCGTCTCACTAGATGTGGTGGAGCTTACGCCAACCCAAGACAAGTTTAAGTTTGTAGTGTCCATCTCGTACACCCTTGAGAAGACACTTACCATCAGCTGCAGAAATGACAAAGTAGACGAAATCCACAAAGTCTACTGTCAAAGTCATCGCAAGTACGCACTGACACTGCACCACACAAACACATAGCTCTAGTTAATGCCTCGATTTCACTCTACTGTAGCAATTGTCTTTTTATCTACAGTGGCAACCTTTTGGTTCGTCCGCCACTCAATATGTCGCAGACATCTTCAATCGATAGTGTGGGAGAGACCAAAGTGTCTAGGGTGGGAGCCGGTCCTAGTTTACACCATCAGGATTTCGACCGAGGGAGGCATTATTGAGCGCTCTACTGACAAGAACAGCTACGTACTTCCAGACAAGGTCAAGGGAGTAGTCAATGTCAGTCTCAGTGTGGAGAACCACTGTGGAGAGACGACCCAGCTTGATAGACAGTCTGTGGACACTGAGGCCACTGGCACAGGTGAGGTTGAGTTCTTTGCATAGAGGGGTTTGGGAATCATGTTACTTTTGCAGGTGGTTTGGCTGGAGGTGGTGGAGGTTCCAGTGAAAGTGGTGCAGGAGAACTGGAGAAATCTCTGATGATTTTCTTTTTCATTGGGTTGGCTCCTCCCGTTCTGCTGCTGATGATCGTCTTTATCGTAGTTGTTGTAAGAAAGGTCAGCTCTTGTATCAGTCAACAGATCACAGACTAATAATGAACGTTTCTTTCAGATTTGTCTGACAGAGAATGATATACTCTTAACAACATCACAGAGTTAGCTAGTTCATAGCCATTTATTTGTGTCTGTTTCACCATTTTGTAGTAAAATTCACATATTATATGGATATATATGTCCTTTTGAAGCCCTCATTGGACTATAATTATAATAATATGGTCAATAGACCTCTCATTCATCTTTTCATGAAACTGGTGGGGGAGGGGAGGAATATCAGAGAATGTATATAACTGTCCACCACTACTAGTAAAGTGGCTTACTCAAAACATTGCTTAATCCATGCATTGGCGTAAGAACATTATTTTAATTTACTGATGATAAGTTACAACACAACTGGCAATGGCTAGCCCTGCATCACAGCTGCACTTGTCCATAAGCAGTGTTGCGAGAGGTGGGAATGTTGTCCTTGTGTATAGGACCATATGCTTCATTGGACGTCAGCTGAATGTCTTGTGAACTCTTGACCTCTCTTGCCACACCCACCTCCTCATAGGTGACTGGTGGAGGGAGGGGAGGGGGAGAGGAGGAGGTGGGGCTAGACATCATGCCCCTCACTCTATGTATGAGGTACAGTCCCACCATTCCCAGTAGAACTCCAATAGTTAGAAACATAAAGACTGCACACCACGCCAATGACTATGGCTGTTGTCTTACTGACATCATCAAGTTCTGCTACTATAATTATAGATTGAGCATAATAATAGTAACGAGGTAAGCACTGCAGCTGGCCAATTGTACCTTCTCTCTCCACGCATTGAGGAGTGGTTCCATTCCAGAGGCCACTAGACAGACATTCTCTGGTAGTGTCTCCCTCTAGACTTAGCCATCATCACAGAAGTAGACTGCCACTGATCCTACACTGTCTCCACTGTAAACACACAAAACCCCACCACCCACTCACTGACCCACACACTCTGTTCTCCTCAACCAGAGAGGGAGACAAGTCCCTCAATGAAAATTCTTCTCTATTAAGGTGTTACAAAAACAGATGATAACACAGTTCCCAAAGAGTGTTTTTAAAACACACTGATGAATGCTTTCTGTGTTTCAGTAAGGAAAGGCAAACAAGAAGGAAAACATAGACCTTACTTGGTGGTTTAGTGTGGTAGCATAACATACACAGAGAATGTAAAGCATGCAGAGTATAAGATACATGTGACACCAGCAGAGTAACTATCACTGGTAGTTGTATTGGATCACCTCAGTCAGTGCAATCCAATACTGACATGTTTAACCACTACTGTTAGGATCATGATGTGACTACCATCAGGGTCTGGTGTGACGTCGTCAGGTCTGGTACGACACAGACTGCGTCATTGGCTGAGGACCACGATCGAGAGTTGCAGACATGAGATGACATCATCCTCATGAGGAGTGTATCCCATCATGACAGTCGAATCTGGAAAGTCTACTCTTGGGTGGCTCCGCCCCAAATCCTCTCTGGGCTCCTAGTACTCCTCATATACTTCTCCATTGACCGTTACGGTGCTGGAACTACTAGCAGCCAGCTCGGGGAAGAGGTCCACGTAGAATAATGGAGATTCTGTCTGTATCGTGTCGCCGGCCGCAGTGTGCGCGTCATCAGAGAAGCCCAGAAAGCATCTCTAGCACCGAGTAGTGTCATTAAACGATAATATCTCTTTCTTTCAGTCGGCAAAACAAAGGTCTGAGTAAGACTCTGCATGGTACAAACTGGTGGCTATTTATACTAAATGTCTATGCTGCTAGAGTATGATGGGGAAAAGAAACTGAGGAAAGATATGTACGCTGATGCCAGTGGAGTGACTGAGTGCGTAACATATTTCCTCCCTAGATAGAGAGATCGTGTTGTGACTGGAGTGATCTCTCAGGCCATTCCACACCATGTATATCTGCTCAACTGCCCTTGATAAAAACGTCCAGCTGTGTGGTGTTTTCTCATCACAACAGTGAGGCATTGGTGATAAGCAGGCTGTATCTGGTCGTATATTTCAACGCCGGTATGGAAATATCTCAACCTTGCTCCTTCTGCGTATGTTCCTGACAAGAGTAGTCATCTCGTATGTAGAGGCTTAATGAGATACACATCTCGCTTTTGACAGCCTGTACTGCAGTCTGAACGAGTACTCACCAATACCACCTCGTGATATGTTTTCCTCGATGTAATGGGCACTGCTACCACTGTAGCTGATGATAACACATGCCTGTGATAATCATGCGCAGCTATCAGCACTGAGACACTGTACATTGCGTCTTGATGCAGAATCTGTCTGGCTTTTTAGACCATTATCTGAGTCACATATTTCCCATATTATCATTGCTAACAACCACAGTAAGGTCAGAGTGAGGTTTCCTAACAGTGGGTGTTGGGTCTTTGTCTACCATGACCAGAGTGACGTTAGCCACATCAGGTAATGATCCTGGGCCTGTTCACTCCCTGGGTCATCCAGTACAGTAAAGAGTCTCACACAAACGTACCCAGATACCACTCAAGTTAACCCATTCTAGTCCTGTACACCTAAAGACAGACATCTCCGAAGCATGCTCCTTCCCATTTTGAGTGATGATAGGGTTGATGCTAACAGTAAACCTGGAACAATGGTTGTCCTGATCACCGGCAACCCCTGAACTTTTATCATGCTTACCTGGTAGTCGTGTCCACAGTAGCAAAAGCATCTCAGTGTAGGTGTACCTGCTGCTAGCTATTGCGATGAAATCGTGAGTCCGCAGCCGCCGGAACAATGAACGTTTGATTGCTACCGAATTTGATGTCTAGTTTCTTGCAACAGCTGCTTAGCCGCTCGGCGCGCTGATAAGCGGAACCCAGCGCGCAACGACGTCTCCCTCGCGGAAGCCGCACAACAGTACCGCAGCCCCTACGTACGCGCAAGTCCTGCGCCATGGGAGGGCGATGTTTCGCGAGCGTAACTTGCGTGTGGTTATGTAGAACTATCACAATGCTGTCTGATTCAGCAGTCACCAACGAACCGCTCCAAGCTTCCGCTAAAAACAAAAATGTCAGCGGACCCGTTTCCTCGGGGCAGAGGGCATGAGTGTCTGGCACGAGCTATATATCAAACACCAAAAACACCGACCACACAGTGACAGAGCGTTTTCTTAATATGACCACGCACCACCTTCAAGAATGCACACTACTACTTTCTCAAACCACAGACCACCCTCTCCGTCAAAACCACGACCCCGTGTTGATGATACATCACCTCTTCCTCTCCAGTGGGCCGTTGCTAATTTTCTTTTCTCTGGGATAGCTCTCTAAGTCTCATGAATCTCTGTATCCCAGTCCCTCCATCTACTACCTCAATACTACCATTGATTGGTGATGGTTGGATCTCTGCAGCAGCTGGGTACAGAGTAAAGTCCTGACGTCATAACACCACTGCATTACACACTGCTCCACTGCTACTTAGTGATAATATGAGGGAAAAGACAAACGTTATTCTGATAAACTAAACTCACCCTCCACGCTAGTTCCAGAGCCTCGCTACAGGGGTCACTGGAGCCAGCACAGTTTGTGCGCAGTGATGAGGAGCGGGTAGACCGTGGAGTAGTCTACAGTGAGAGAGCTGGTCACGCGCAGAGACTCAGTATGTTGTCTGGACCACAGTCTCGGGTGATCCTACCTCCTGGTAGATAGAGACGGGGCGTAGTTGTCAATCTCACACTCCTCCTCCGTCATCTCGCTGGTCTCTCCTACCCACCACAACTACAGTGCAAAGCTGAGATATGTCCCCATACACACCACTGATGGTCCGGTATCCAGGGAGGTGAAAGCTATCCTACATAGTGCGTAATTAAACAACTCCTTGTGGATTGTCTTGTTCGTACTTATCTTTATGTATGATGGTAGAAATATTGTTGCTTGAATTTTAATGGGATATATAGTCAGGTCTTGAGGGAGAGGTTAACGTGGTGTGTGGTATGTTGAAGTTAAGTCACCCAGGAAAGAGTAGCTATATACTGCTTGTCTCGAGAGTAGTTTACCAGAGAGGCGTGAACTGTCAATTGGAGTGATAGTGAAATGATTTTATCCGCCAATTAGCACTTGATCCAATGACCCCAGGTCGTCCCAGGCACAGCACAAGTCAGAGCGACATCTTCTCTCCAACACAAGCTGACCCATCGGAAGACAGGATGTTTCACTTGCCCCTGTTCATAGTCATACTAGCAACTATTATGCCACAGGACAGCAATGCGAAGAGATAATAATTCAAACTGGTGTAGTTGTACACCCCATAATCTGTAGCGGACATTTCATATCCTCCGATCCCCCGATAAATTCCTGGCGGGATATCTATCCGCACCCCGGGATATTTTATACCCGTGCTGTGCATTATTAGGAGGAGTGTCGAAACGCTCAACACGGTATACCAGTGGCACGTCGTAGGGAAGATTGTGGGTGTGGTGGATGGCAGAGGCTAGAGTGAAATGGGCAATAAGCGTCAAACTATAATGATCGAAGGACGAATGTTGAACATATGTGTGGTGGTAGGAATTTATTCAGAACACACCCTGTTACCTAGGGTACAGTCGTCGTTATGTGTAGTCTCATCCATACTCAGTCGCGCTAGAGTCTGGAGTATTATACCTTATGTTCAAGATTCTGAAACGATACATATGAAGGTTGTTGATAAACTAAGGTAGTGAATGTTGGCGGCGTTGGGCTGAATTCACGTCGAATCTGGAGCTACTCCTCTTATTTTAAGGCCCACATGTGTGCAAGTGTGCAATTGTTTAACACAGCTTGCGTACAGTATTGGGACACAAAAGCTCTTTACGCTTGCACCATTGCAACTCCTGAGAAGTCATGTCAAACACGCGTTAGCCTCTAAAATTGCCTGTGATTGTAACAACATCACTTCATAGTAAGATGGCTTTTCTGCATGATGGTGGGGTGGTCAGGGATGAGACTAGCCTCGTTCCCAGGCCGGTCCTCCTGATGAGATGGTTATATGTGTGTAGCATCTTGCCACCCACGTGCTGCCATTGTACTGCTGGTGTGTTGTAGCTACATATGATCCTATTCATCACTATAATGTGTGAAACACCAAGCTGATTGGGTCATCACTAGTCGGTAGCAGCACGATCAAGTGTCCAGTGATGTAGATACATAGCTACATAGATTAACAGCTCCTATCAAATACGCAGAGTGGATGGTGTGTGCGCAGGTGACATGGTATTTTGTCATGCCTCTTGTGTCATTCAGAGGAAAATGCTGGTATATAGTGCCAAGATCTTTTTGCTGGCTCAGGCCTTAGAATAATGTTTATAACTGTTGGTGTCCTTGAAAAGTATGTTTTAGGGAGCTTGTTTATTTGAGCCAAAGAAAACTTGTATGTGGGAGTAAGGTCATTTCTGCTGTATATATAATATTGTCTGTAGCGTCCACGCTCCATGGGCGCTGACCGGAACCAGCTCCTTATGCACAACTCTCTTGCATTTCAACAGTTTAGACAACAGTCATTAGCACCACCCATGTATGGAAGGATGTGGGAGCAGAAATTCAGCATTGTGATTGGCTATATAGTTGGACTACAAAGCAGTTAAAGGCAGGCGTCTCAGCACACACAGGATATCCTCCTCAGCTGTTGACTATACCAGCCTTGGAGCCTCACCACTTAATGCTTACATCATCAGCTGCTGGCCGGGAAGAAAGAGTCCCTTTACTCCCACACAAGGCATCTAAGCAATGACCCGTATTAGGTGCTTAGCATTCTTTGGTGAAGTGGGACGTAGAGGTTGTTCATTATTGTGTATGGAGTACACTACTGTTTATCAACAAAGGCAATCACAGGTCAGAACGGATCCAGATCCCGTCCATTGTCTAAAAACAGCCGACTATCCGCAGATAACGTCATACTGCTGACGTACGTGCCACGATACCAGTCCTGTAGATAAGTCCATGTGATGCCCAGAGCCAAACGAAACAAGAAGGCAGCTCTGAGCATGCTGTTTCGGGCTTGTTGGCCCTCATCAGCAGAGCATACCACAACTCATGTATAGTTAAATTTGTAACTATACATGAAATGGTATATACTTGGCACAGTACCATGAGGCAGCTGTCCCTGCACCTTCTCCAGTCATGTATGGCTAGGGACTATATAGAACTATTTTTGTGACAACTACGTGCGCCTTAGCATGAGGCTCTGTGCCAGCTATGAGCTCAACTTGTGGTGTATGTTTATATCTACATATTATTAATTGTAGGTATATGATGACGGTGATTATTTTCCTGCTGGCATTGTGTGGGATGCTTTTTGTTTCACCATCTGTTGCAGGTATGGTTTTTGGTGTGTCTAGCAGCTCCTGAAATTGTCTACCTTCCACAAAATGTAGCAAAATTGGTGTCACAGCAGTAGGGTGGGTAGAGCTTTTTCTTTCTATCTTTTGTCGTACGTTTCATACTCTTCACCGTTCCTATAGTCTACCAAGGGTGAAATTGGGAGCGAGATGCACAGATTATTTAATCTGGGGTAACTCGGTGAAGAGAGCTATCCGTGCCAGTGCTTGCATACTTGCATAATACTCTGCGTTGATTGTTGTTGAATCGTCCTATAGTTTCCACATGCAATGTAGCCACTTACGTTTCATTACTCTAGTCACATGATTTTCCCCATTCAGCTAGGTTTTCTGATACTTGCTTTTGGTATCGAGTGACTCCTAAAAACCTTTTTGCCTATAGCATGGGTGTACACCTTTTTAAAGTGTGCAATATCTGTGCAAAGGCGTGTAAATACTCCACACCTAGTGTTGCAAAACTAAGTTAATGCATAAATTTCTAAGTCATGCGACCAGAAAAAATTGTGTATAAACTGCTCTCTTCTTCTTAACAGTGATGTACACGATTGAGCACAAAAGTGATGGATGCTGTGGTCAAGAACAGATTGTTTTGTGTAAAGCTACAGAAACAACAAATATTTTTGTATTTGTAGGGGATGAGCTACTCGCCTCCTACACTTACCTAAAGAGAGAGCAAATTATTGATAAAGATGGGTATCGTATAAGGGCAACAAATGCAACAATGGTGGCAGAGATTCATACAGTATGTGATATAGAAAATTGTACTTCAGACCCTGTCAGAAGAAGTGTTCGATAACATGGTGATATTCTTTCTGGTCTCCGTCACTACGAACATCACATGACAACAGTCAGGTTTGTGTTAGCTGAAACTGGGATACGCAATCATGTATTTTTTTTCTTTTTTCTGTCTATTATAGGTTTAATTGCCTGAGTATCGGACCTTCTATACGGGGTGAAACTTCTTACTTCAATAATGGGAAAGTAAAGATGGTGTCACTGTCTCAGCACGAGTGTCTACACTGAAGTGCTAGAGCCAAGTGTAGATTACTTACTGTCAACTCTCCACTGTAAACAACTGTTCAACTCTTGAGTGTTGACTGCTCATCTCTTTCGAAACATGACATGATCATTGGCCAATCAGTGTGAAACGAATGTGACTCTTCATGGTGTCGCAGACGGCCATATCATGCTGAGTTTTGGACATTTTAGTGATTGCGGGAAAAATAGTGCTCCTCAATACTTGTAACCCTTGGAGATGGTTAGTTCATGATGAGCATTGTTCAATAAATTGATTCGATATTAATTACACAGGTGGGATCGTCACTATCGAAGGGAGCAGCTCAGCCGGGACTAGTGCTGGCATCCTCATTGTTGCTGTATTATTCTTACATGTTTTTTTATGATTTTACATCCTCTGTTTTGTTGTAAAACTTTCTTGTGTGCGCGGGGTCTCCTCGCGCTCGCTTTCCAAAAATGCGTGTAGACATTCGTATATAATTATTATAGGCATTAGTATAGGCGAGGATAATTAAGCCTCGGCGCACATGCGCAGCGAAGTTAATCTGTGTGTATATACGTCTGTTTTCTGCCAACACGCGCAACAAACCGACCAAAAAGCGATACCAACGGGTTCATCGCTACACTTGTTTGATTTTGAATTTTGCGAATTTCATAAAAGTACTGCGTTCCAGAGTTAGCTATGGCCTGAAACAGGCCATATGCTAATTAGCACAAGCTTACCTCGACCGGGTCCGCTTGCTCTGCCTATCTTATCTTGAAGAAAAAAGGAGTCACAACGAACAGACTCCGCATCCTATCTACTACACTGTAGCTATCCCGTGTCAGACACTCGGCTACACAGCTAGTCCAGTCGAGTAATTGCCGAGCGCATTAGCGCGAGGCAACTACTGCGGGTTTATTTTATTTTTTAGAGAAAAAACAGAGCAATTATACAAAAACCCAAAAAATATATTTAAGAAGGAATAGAGAGAACACTCCGGGTTGCATTCTCGCGATATGCGTACGTACGTATATACATGTACGTGTCGTCAATTAGTCACGTTTAGGAATGTAAATTAGTCACCAAAAGGAAGTGTAACTTCCGTCATTCGTAGGAAGTCTAGCTTCCGCCGTGCGCGCAGATTCGTAGGAAGTCTGGCTTCGCGCGCAGTCAGTAGAGAGCGCGCAAGAGCGGCCTCAATCGGACTGTTTACGGCAGGGCAGGCGCGAGGCCAAATATGCGCGTGCGCATTCTTATAAGTAGAGAGCCCAGCCCATCAGTACCGCGCATGCGCATAATTCCGGCCGCCTCCCACGCATGCGCCCATACGATGCGCTCACGCGACGTGGGATCGCTTCGCTCGCACGCCAATAATGTGTTCTCCCATGCGACTCACCACAATAAATTTTCGCTACTGTATATACATGTTTCTCTGATGAACGCCCAAAGGAATAGCTAGGTGAGGAAATACCAGCATAAACTAATTAGTTTTCCGGTGTAATTCTCCGCCCCTAGCTAGAAGTCGTGACTTCGCGACCGTCTGCCGAGCCGAGCCGGTAGTTATAGCATAGATATTATAGCGGGGACCATCTACTGTTATCCCACCATCTCCATCGAGAGTGAGCATGTACAACAACACGAAGATACTTTTGGTACTGTTGACACTACTACCAGGTAAGCATGATAAAAGTTCAGGAGGTTGCCGGTGATCAGGACAACCATTGTTCCAGATTTTACTGTTAGCATCAACCTATCATCTACTCAAAATGGAGAAGGAGCATGCTTCGGAGATGTTCTGATCTTTAGATGTACTGTGACTGGATCTGGGACACTTGTGTGGTATCTGGGTACTGTTCGTGTGAGACTCTTTACTGTCACTGGATGAACCAGGGAGTGAACCAGGCCCAGGATCATTACCTGGTGTGGCTAACATCACTCTGGTCAATGTAGACAAAGACCCAACACATCCACTGTTAGGAAACCTCACTTCTGACCTTACTGTAGTTGTTAGCAATAATACTATTGAGAAATATGTGAACTGCAACAATGGCCTAAAAAGCCAAGGTATTCTCATCAAGAAGCAATGTAAGTGCTCAACATGCTGACAATGCTGCATGATTATCATGCATTTGTTATCTACTACAGCTGTACCATCACCCATTATAATCAAGGATAACATCACAGGTGGTATTGGTGAGTACTCATTCAGACTGCAGTTACAGGCTCAAAACAGATTGTACTCATTAAGCCTCTACAACAATGACACTCTTGTCATGAACTTTACAGCAGAAGGTTTGGATATTTCCATACCAGGCTTGAAATATAATACCAGATACAGCCTTGTTATCACCAATGTCAACTGTTTTAATGAAGAAAACACCACACTGCTGGAGTTTTTACAAGGTGCAGTTGAACTGTAGCTAACAAACAGCATCTTGAACTGTTTCTCCTCTTCCCCCAGCTGGCTGCAGAGCTCCACCATCACCAGTCAATGGTAGTATTGAGGAGTACAGGAGTACAGAGGAGGGAGCAGAGATCCAGTTCCACTGTCATGATGGATACACTCCTAATGAGTGGATGTCATCTCAATGTCTCAACTCATCATGGTCCCCTCACCCAATGGACCTAGTCTGTGTCTTACCAGACCCTGACACTCCAGACCCTGATGATGTCACATCAGATCCTAACAGTTAGTGTTTTAACTGTGTATCTAAACATGCAGTATTGGATTGCACTGGTCGACTGAGGTGATCCAATAATACTATACAACTGCCAGTGTTATGATAGTTCCCAGTACTGCTGCATTCTCTGTATGTTATGCATGTTGCTATTTTTGCCTTATAGTTACATGTGAAGCACCAATAAACACATCAACAACCTTTTTCAAGTCGGAAGGATCTTCGTAATGATCTTCTGCGAGGATGGGTACTTCATAGATGGAAGTGTGACAAGTACATGTGTCAGTAACGGTTCATGGGTACCTGACCTTCTCAGAATCAAATGTGAACCAGGTATGTTCATTTTTATTCAGCAGCCCACCTTCCCCATTACTGCTCGTACAGGTAATCATGGATCCACAAGTGTCAAGAAAGGAGGAGAGCTGGTTATAGTTGGTGTTTCTTCGGCAATTTCACTACTATTTTTGTTCATTGTTGGAGTGGCTGTTGTGTTTTGCTGTTGCAGGAGAAAGATTGGTGAGAACACGATGTGACTAATAACTGTATACACATAATTATACACATGCACACCCATAAACACACACACACACACACACGTGCTCCATGTACAATAAAGTCACTAAGCTGACTGAAAAGTTTACTACCCACAAAGCTCATCATAATAATGTTGTCATTAATGTTCCCCCCAGGATCTAGAGTAAAGAGAAAGAAGCGTACAGTTGCCAATGAGTGAGGTTTTTTGGTAACACAATCAGGACTTGTTTAGCTCTCAGGGACTTAACATGCTCTATAATTATACCTATTCAGATATACCGAGATGCTAGCTACATCTCCTCCACCAAGTGGCACAACAGGTGGTAGGACGACAACGTCATTCACTTATCACTATGAAGACCCTGTGAGCCCATCAGACTCTCTTGGACGATACACAATCGCCCAATCCACCACCAGGGTAAAGTACGATATACAAGTTTAGGAGTACATAATATCATGTTACCAACTTGTGTCAACAATGTTGAGTAGTGGTCTAACTGAGAAAGAGTGTTGACTCTGAAGCAACATTGCCATAAGCTGCTACCACTAGCTAGCTATTGTGGGAAACATGACCTGTCACATTGGTACCGCACTGTCTGCCCCCGACTGCACAAGTAACTCTTCATAAACTTGTCTGTTGTCATGCTACGGTTATGTCCTCTGTTCTGTTAGCCACTTTGGGTTGTATGTTATCACCACAGCTTATGTCAGTAGCTAACTGATTGTAAGATATCAGAGTCTCATTCTTTTGAGCCCAATCTCTGTCAGACTTCACTGTCACCGCGCAAAGAGGAACCGTCGTTACCCACGATCGCACTGGACTAGGAGTGTTGCTACACTATGTACACATTTCATGCAGTCTGAAAAAAATTGCAGAGCTGCATCAGCATGTTAAAATATCTTTATTGAGACACTGATTAACACCTGGTCTTGTGTGCACACTCATGGTACTTTGTTTTACTCACACATGTCCCCCACAGGCCACAAATGATTGTCCTCCAGCCCCAGGACTACAAGCCTCTCCCCCTCAGTCCACACATCTGAACGAGGAACCCGTCTCTCCCTCCAGACCAGAGTCTCCCGAGGGAACCCCTCCACCAGTACCTCCATACAGAGGATCATCTCCCGAACTTCACTCCTCTCTTTCTACACTCCCTCTCGTGAAAGTCAACTCCCCAGAGTCTATTGCCTGCGGTCCTACCGGTGGTGGGTCGAGTCCTACTAAGGACTGCCTCTCTTAGTCTGGCTCCATATAAAGGCCTTTTGCCCATATACCCCAGATTGTTTTAAAATTGGCCTCGTATCTATAGTTTCACCATTATCTGCCTTATGGTTTAAGAGGTCTTGGTATTTTCTTGCAGACTGAATACAGGTTTTATTTTTGAGTGGGAGCGAGCTAACCTAGTGGTCAAAACAGCGTTCAAAATACGCTGTACACTGTGTATGTATGCATTTTGAGAATGTTATTGGTCCTGTGGTGTGAACACTAATTTAGGTGGTGTCAGTAAACATGGTTAGTGGGCTCGTTCAACAAAAACACCCTACAGTAGCTATATACACTCCTCTCACCACCTGCAGCTTCCTACTGTGGTTCCCAACCTGTCCCTCCAGAAGATCCTGCTCCCCCTAAGCTACCCCCCAGACCTCCTGCCAAACCTCCTGCCAAGGTGACAGGCAAACATGTACGTACTGCAGCAATATGGTCATGTTATTGACTGCCAGAGATAGTGGTGCATCGAAGAGGGAACTTTCAATGTTTGGTACACGGGACTTCCTTATTCAAGGCGGAAGATTAACACTTGGCATAATCTCTATACACAATCAGTTGCATTGTAGTGTGCTGGTAAATCACCTGGGAAATTAACATTGCTGGATTGACAATGAACATTTCTGGACAGACAACTAGCCGACCTGGAGCTTTCCCCCTCGTGGTTCAGAACATCACTTTCTTTTGGATGTTTGGTTAAACTGGTCCCTGAGCTACACAACAAAAGTGGTTTTTTAAAACTGCTATTGTTCCCACTCTCCCCACTTTCTATCTTACACCATCCCCAAAAAGGCAACACTTATAATTTTGTTACTTGGTTTGTCTTGTACTAACTTGCAACACAACATCGTAATCAGTATTCATTTATTTAAACCATACTAAAGAAACCTTCACAGAGACTGGAGTATGCTGATGTAGTCCCCCAGCAGAGCAGCAGAGGGAATCCCATACTCCCACCCCCTCCCAGTGGCAGAGATAACACTGTGTACAGTGAAGTAAGGACCGACTTGAAAGTCGATGTTGCCACTACTGTCAACAAATATGGTAAGCCACATAATATAGCTATATAATACGTATCCAGCCACATACATTATAGCTGTACGTATAGCAAGTGGGACACTTTTGAAAAGTTTAAACGAAATCTTGGGCAGGGCTCATCCATCTGAGGGCAAGCTTCTTTCTGTGTGGTTCTGCAAGCTGTTATTATTTTCTCCCTCTCTCTACCATAGTTCGAACAAACATACATTATCTGAGGAGAGAGAGCATCTCCCTGCTACTATTATTAGCTATCAGTACTGTGCCACAGTGTAGTTGAAGCTGTGGTGTGTTTCCTCTTCCTGCAGACCGTTGTGTAACACTGGATAACATCATGCGTCAGATAAGACCTTTGGCACATAAGTGGTCCAATTTTGCCAACTTCCTAGAATTGCAGGATCCCGGCATGCCAGACATTCACAATGTGAGCTATTTAACATTACATTGCTACTTACTCTTATCGTGGGAAACAGCACTCTGATGAGGAAGCGCTGAAGGTCGTTGTCACCAGGTGGATGATTAGGACTGGGAATACCCCAACATGGGGGAGGTGTCTGGGTTGGTGAGGCACAGTGGGTTCCCGGAACTGGCAGATGCTATCAACAGGGTCTATGTCACAGGTGGGGATGATTCAACTCTGTACTCTGTTTTTCACTCAATCTCTCCTCTGCCTGACTGAATGAGAATTTGAATGTATTGTCTGCCTCTCAGGCATCGTGACGGTGAGAAGATAAGGCTAGGTAAAATACACTCTTCAAAATGCTGTACTTTTGGACAAAAAGCCACTGACCTCACATTAGAGCGACTGTTGTGACAAAACAGTCAACAGGAGTTGAGTTTAGCAAAAGCTTTGAGAAAAATAGGGAAACTCTGTCTG